AATAGCAGGAACTATAGTTGACAGTTGGTTCCCACATTGAACCAGCTGCCACGAAAGGAATGGAAAAGCCATAAGACTCCCTGAAGCTCATGCCTCATGCTAGGGAAGGAAGTACAATGTTGATTTTTTTGGTCAGTGGTAATTATGAATGTGGCTCTCTGCAACTCACAAAATTCCACTTCTATCAAGTTTGTTAAAATGCAGCCTACAGGAAAAGTTCTTCCTTCTGACGTACAATTATATGAATTTGGGTGAGGACTTTTGTCACTTCCTGGCTCTCTATAGTAGGTGGGATGTGTGAACATACTTCTGCTATTTCAGTTAATATTTGCATTGGGGGATTTTTATAAAAGGGGTAATTTATGCCTGTATTTAGTTTTCTATAATAGGATATTATTCTGGGTATCTCCATGCCGGCCACATGACCACGGAGATGTCTTCGGACAGCACTGGCTCTTCGGCTTGGAAACAGAGATGAGCACCACCTCCTAGGGTCGGATTCGACTGGCTTTTGAGCAAGGGGAACCTTTACCTTTTAGGAAGGCTAGCCATTATTATCCACTAGCTATGCTAGTGCAGAAGTGTCCACAAGTATCACCCACCCCTCTGATTTCTATATAGTAAGCCCACATACATTGTATTGAACTAGTCAAAAGTGAAACCTAAATTGAAAACTTATTTAAAGCTCGATTAAAAATGTCCTTTTCCATAGCTGACCTAGACATAACAGGGGAGGATTAAGCAAAGAGAATGACTGATACACACACGACTCTTATGCGTTTCTGCTGTTTGGAGGAAGCTTGACATCTGTATGGGTCATCTTCCTCTCTTTGCAAAGCCAGGAATAGAATCTGTGGACTCTGCTTTAGCTAGTACATTGTAGACCTTCCTTGTAATTAAAGCAAAGTTTCATACAAATCTATGTGTTCTATTGGCAAGAGTTACTTTAAATGGTTTCTTCGCTCAGCATGTCCCATCAGCTTCCTTATAGCCTGTACTTAAGACAGAATAGAATTTTTGTGATGCTATTTTAGATCTAGTCCTAAACATGGTCCACAATTGGGTGCCAAGTCTCAGGCTGGCATAAGTATAAACTGTAGGTCTCTTAACCTGAGTTTCTCTCCATTACAGAAAAACATGATTCCATAAGCCTTTTCAATCCCTATAAAAGGGTCCATTTCTCCTTTCATACCCCTTGGTTGGTAGCTGGAGAACAAAAAGGTACCACTACTACTGGATTTGGGCCAAAGGTCTCCAGTGCCTGAACCTTATCATAATGTTAATTGATGACCATAGCTATAGTAATTTAGAACACATTCACATTTAAATGAACAGTCAATTTAGAATGTTTTTAGAATCTTCCTGTCTCTGTATGATTGCTGCCTAAAGAATGTGTTTGGGGCAAATCCTTCTATTAGCTACAATATTATTTTCAAGGGAAGCCTTGTAGTCAAGGATAGCTAATCTTTTGGGCAAGTCTATCTGCCCTGAACATGTAACCTGTGATATTTTTGTAGTCTCTGTCCTAAAATGGTGTGTGAATGCTTTACAAATAGTATAGATCCTTATCATCTCTAACAATATAGGTTTTGATTCTGACCGTTAAGGACTTGAGCGGACTGGGACCTACATATCTTCAGGACTGCCTCCTCTGGTATGTCCCCCAAAGAGCTCTACACTCAGCTGGAAATAGTCAGCTGGTGAATCCCAGCCCTAAAGATGTCCAGCTAGCTTCGACCAGAGCGTGGGCTTTTTCAGCTCTGGCTCCTACCTGGTGGAACTGTCTGCCAAATAACATCCGTGCCCTGTGGAACCTTATGCAGTTCATGCAGGGCATATAAGGCAGAGATGTTCTGCCAAGCTTTTGGCTTAGGATAGCAATGGGTACCATCTTATCTGGTACTCCCTCCCCTCCCCCCCTTTGCCTTTTCCCGCTTGCAGGACAGTAATGCATACTGTATTCATTTTGGTGCCATATAATCTTTTCTAATTTTTAAAATGTTTTTAATGTTCTTAATTTTAACTTGACTGTTTTATTTTCAGTTTTATATTGTATTTTGTTGTCAACCACCCTGAGCCTTGTCAGAGAAGGGCAGTATATAATTTTTTTTTTTAATATAAATTTTATTTTTAACTTCTTTTTTTTTGGTAAACAAATTTTTATTTTCTTAGGAACATAACATATAAGATTAAATCATTCAGTCCATTGTTTACCTCATTCCCTTCCTCCCCTCCCTCCAATGGCTTCCCGCAATGCTTCTCCCCCTTCTTACAAATTTCATTATATCATTAACACATCATTTGTTATCATCCAACCTCAAGATAACATCATTTGACTTAATATTGATCTAAACATATTAAGTTTTGTTAGGGCAGTATATAAATTGAACTTATAAATAAACTAGGAGTAAGGCCTGTTGTGGGAAGAAATACAATGAGCTCTAGAAGGAAGCTCCAGGTGAGTGTCCCAACTGTGGCTGTTGGGAGGGCAGAGGGATGGGGAAAATAGAGGCAGGAAAGCCATGTTTATTTCCTTCTGCTTAGCTATAAGGCAGGGCTGTCTCAAGTCATTTTGCTGCCCCAAGTGGGTAGCATGGGAGGACAGCCTCATGCTAACAGGTATGGTTCCCTCCACCCCTGACTTATGTTCATTTTGGGGTTATGCAGTGGCAGCTAAGGTAAAAAAGCACCTCCGCCTATGCCATGTCTTCTGGGTTCCAAGGTTTGGAATGCGGTTCCATAGCCAGTTACATGGTTGCCAACTCTGGGTTGAAAAATACCTGTAGATTTGAGTAGTATAGCCTGGGGGGGCAGGGTTTGGGGTACAGAGGGACCTCAGCAGGATATAATTCCATAGAGTCCATTGCCCAAAGCAGCCATTTTCTCCAGGAGAACTGAACTTGGAGATCTCCAGGTGCTGCCTGGAGGCTGGCAATACTAAGGGGAGGGCGAGACCTATAGATTTGAGGGGTAAAGCCTGGGAAGGGCAGAGCTTGGGGTGCGGAGGGACCTCAGCAGGCTATAATGCCATACAGTCCACTGCCCAAAGCAGCCATTGTAATAGCTAGGAAATTTTCTGTAGGGGAAATAGTGTGTTGTGGCTGGGTAACACAGTGATTTCTGGGAGATCTCCAGGCCCCACAGGGAGATTGGCAACTCCAGTGACCATTTAAGGGAAGATTGGGATATGTATTTTGGCAGCTCCAGTGACCGTTTAAGGGAAGATTGGGATATGTATTTTACTTCACACATTCAATGACTCCTAACAGAAACAGCAAACTGTTTAGAATGTTAGAGGCCGTATATGCAAATAACCTCTGTGTTCCAACTGGCTATTGGGGGAAGAGGAACAGCAAACTGTTTAGAATATTGGAGGCGAGACTTAGGCAACGCAGCCAGTGGATAGGGACAGCTTCTGATTTGATAGGCATAGGGAGTCAACTGATTTGGGAGCATGTGGGATGTTCAGGAGAGTCCATGACCAAAACAGAATTATTATAAAAAGAAATAAATATCATGGTAGCATTGAAATGCAATAAGTCTCTCTTCTTTTGCAGAAAAGGCTGATACCAGCCATCAGCCTTTGTTTCATCTGTTTATTTCCTTCTCTATTTTTTAGAAACATTAACAAAGGGACATTGTAGCCATGAGGAAAGGGGAGGGAGCTTTTAGTACATAGCAGTAAAGCTGATGAGGGCTGCACACATACATTAACAAATACAAGAGCACAATTTTTCAGGATGATCCTGATGACAGATTTTATATTAGTGTGGTAAATCTGCAGGCATGTGTACTACAGACATCTTGGGTAGTATCATTCAGGACATCAAACCTGCTGTTTCAGGCACTTGGCTCTGAATATTTGTTCTAGATCAATTTTAAGATAATCCAGGCTTCTTGGCAGACAGACCATATCCATTTGCACAACAGAATGTTCTTTTAATAAGGCTTGTGGGTATAAATAAACAACTTACCCAAACATGGGGAAATAATTGATTTCTTGTTCTATGTTTAGCCTCCTAAATGAGAAAAATAAAATAAAAATTCAACAAATTATTATAATTACCATTTTCAAACGTAAGAGGGGGAATTTAGTGAACTTTATTTCATATATTTAGATATTTATATCCTGGCTTTGTATCCCAATGGGGACACAAAATGGCTTATATCTCCTCTCCTTTAACCTCACAACAACCCTGTAATACCGGTTAGGCTGAGAAAGAGTAACTGGATCAAGGGCTCCCAGTGAGCTTCTATGGCAGAGCAGAGACTTGAGCCTGGGTGTCCCAGATCCTACTCCATCAGTCTAACTGCTACATCACAGAGGAACCATGAAATGTATGTGGATCGACGTGTTCTAACTAGAGCATCAAGTAGGATATTCTGGAATTATAATATTTTCACGTAAAGGACATTTTCAAAGGAACAAAAAGGCAGCCATTGTGATATATGAGAAGGAGCACAGAAGGGAAAACCTTAGTGTTTCTTCTTGCCCGTGCTCCAAGAACTTAGGTCTGCTGTCTTATTGGGGTCAAAATAAAGACAATTCATAACAGGATCCTCTCATCAATTTTAAATCGGAAGACATGGAGCTCCCTAATTTGGATTGCAGCCATGAAAGAGGAGGAAAAGAAGTTTATTTCCTCCAAGTGCAATTTCACTCACTGAAACATCTTCCTCCACACTGTTATTAGCCTACAAAAGAAAAAGAAAAGACTGGCCAAAAATTAATTCCTTAGTAGGTTTCAATTCCCAAAACTACACAGTGGGGAAAAATAAAATCATTATCCCCCTCATCAAACACTAAATATGAAAACTAAGATTTAAAATTTTAAAAACCCTAATGTAGCATTATGTAGATAAGGGAGTTACTCAGCAAGTTGGCTACAAAAAATACAATAAGTTTAAAAGTGGGTCCCACTTCAAACAGTTTGAGAACTTCTGGTTTAGTCAATATCTGAGAGTAGATCCCTGGTAAATCTCTTTCTTGTCTTTTCCAGAAGATCAAGTTTCAGGTGTTGGTTCAACATCCAGTCCTACTGCATCACCTTCTACTGCATCACCTTCAGGAAATTCTTTTTCAAGAGTTTCCACCCCTGAAGTGCCAACAACAGCATTCAGCGCTCTCTCAACAAAGGCTTCCACTGCCACTACAAATAGCAATCAAACATCAAGAGGTAAAAGGAAATTGATATTGGCCTGACTCCTAATCTTCCTCTTCATTTAGGGCAGGGGTGTCAAACATAAGGCCTGGGGGCTAGAACTGGCCTGTCCAGGGTTCTTATATGGCCCACAAGGAACTAGTGCAAAGGAGGAAACAGGAGACTGCTGGGGGTGGGGAGTGGGTGCAGCCACTCTGATTGTGACTTCAGCATGGCAGAACAACCTCATCTGCAGCAGTCAAGCATTGTGGGAGCATCTGCCCAGTGCTGCACCAATGGCTCTCCAGTCGGCCCATGTGGGTCTTCCTTTGCGCCACCCCCCCTCCCAGCCCATGGAGCCTCGCAGTGAGGATACAACAACTTGGAGCTTACCAGCTGCTCTTCTTTATACAGTTTACTAGGAAAAAGGCCCGTTGCGGAAATAAATACAACAACCTCTAGAAAGAGGCTCTGGGCGGGTGCCCCGGCCTTGGACACTCAGTGTCAATTTGCTGTGGCAACCTCAGCAGGATATAATGACACTGAGTCCACCATTTTCTCCAGAGGAATTCATCTCTGCTACCTAAAAAACAGTTGTAATTTTGAGTGATCTCTATGGCTTTGTACCTGTCCGAGGTCCCACGCCTCCTGAAACCTCACCCTCTCCAGGCTCTATCCCTCACATCTCCAGGAATTTCCCACCTGGAGTTGGCAATCCTATCTCCTTCCCAGACAATCCTCAACCTACCTTTATTTCCCCCTCACTCTTCAGCTTTCTACCCACACACACACACCTGCAGCCTCTCCCATGCTCTGAAGCCCTGACTGCTACGTCACATTGGCTGTCATACGGGGGCCACCTCAGCAACATACAAGGATATAGAGCCCACCATTTTCTCCAGGGGAACTGATCTCTGCCATCTGGAAAGCAGTTGTATTCTGAGTGATCTCCAGCCCTCACCTGGAGATTGGACACATTTTACCTCAGAACAGCAAACTGTTTAGAATGTTAGAGGCAAAAGCCAATCAAGTCGCATATGAAAATGGCAAAAGCCAATGAGGCTGCATATGCAAATAACCTCTGTGTTCTGACTGGCTGTGGGGGGAGGGGAACAGCAAACTGTTTAGAATGTTGGAGGCGAGACTCAAGCAATGCAGCCAGTGGATAGGAACAGATTCTGAGTGACACACCAAGGCACCAACCAATTCCGGAGCGTGTGGAATGTTTTAGAGAAGTGCGACCACCATTCGGCTTTTATATATAAGGGAGATATCTCCGGAACCTGGCATTATTTTTTACAGCACACATGGCTCAGCTCAACAAAGTCAGATCTGGCCCTCGTAACAAATGAGTTTGACACCTCTGATTTAGGGATTACTTGGTAAAAGTTTCATACCTACCATAAAGAAGTACAACAGAGGACGTTTTCAGCCAGTGGCCCTTCAACTGAAAGTTCCAAACAAACAAAAACTCTGATGCTTTTCACAACTGAAAATCTGACAGATCTGCAATCTTATCTCTCTTAGAGTCCTGAAAATCTGTCGTAGTCTACATTGCTGCCCTGACCTGGATGACCCAAGCTAACCCCATCTCCTCAGATCTTAGAAGCTAAGCAGAATTGGCCCTAGTTAGTATTTGGATGGGAGACCACCAAGTCCAGGGTTGTTACATAGAGGCAGGCAATGGCAAACCACCTCTGAATGTCTCTGGCCTTGTAAACCCTACAGGGCTGGCATAAATTGACTGTGACCTGACAGCACTTTCCACTACCTGCCTTGCTATCCTTTGCAGAGTTATGCTGCTTAAATTCCATAGACTGAATGGAATTTCAGCAGCCTCCATACAGGATTGCAGCTTTGAGTAACTGGGAGGTCAATCTTCCATGCTATAATCCTGACAATACTTATTATGACAAACTATTATTGAATTTCAGTCACTGTCATGCCATGGATTGGTTCCAGAAGGTCTCACACATTCATATATGTTCTCTTTCCCCTCCCTGTCTAATATCTTCAGACATTTCAAATATCACCACCAGCCCTTCAGATCCTGCTTCAGTGGAGAATGTAACACTTGTTACAACCCCCCCAACAGGGGGTAATACAACATCTGCTCACATCAATGGGACAACCACCTCTTCCCTGACTTCATCTACAGTTCTGCAAAATGTTTCTTCAACTCATCAACCAAATAATTTCTCTGACTCACCTACCACAGCCCAAGCTGGTGACAGCAGTATGATGGTAAGAAGCGTGAAGGATTTTCACTACTGATCAGAATACAAAGGAAGAGGAGAACAAAACAGTCTCCGTTTTTGGAATTCTATGTTAAATCTGTAATCAAGCCATTCATTAGATGATCTCACTAATTAATAAGTACATTTTTTTGCCCCCATTGGGAAATATTTGCAAGTTTCCCTGTACTGGTCATTCAAATTATTAGGGTTGAGGCAAAGTAAGGTTATTTATTTATTTATTTAATTTGTATCCCACCCTCCCTGTCAAAGCAGGCTCAGGGCGGCGTACATAAAATTATTGTAAACAAGTAAAACAGAAAAGTACATAAAATATAGGTATAGATATAAATATTATTATTAGACAGTGTTATTGTTAGACAGTTATTATTTCGGGAGCTCAAAAAGGGGGGAGAAATATTTACAACACTGCTACACTTCTCCTGCCTCCTTCAACACACATTCAGACTCTCCTTCCTGGCATTCAGATAGATGTGTGATGTGGTATGGTGATGGTGTTCCAGAATGAGCATTTTCACAGCCCTGATTGGCTGCTGTCGTAGTGTTGTTTGATTTTAATTGGAACATAGGAGTTATTACATAGCCCATCAGATAAGACTATTTGACGATGTCGCTAAGGACAAAGGAAGTTAATGCAGGTGGAGAGCAATACCTTTCTAAACAGGCATTGCCTTTTCGTTGAATCAGATTTGTTCACTCTCATGTATATCATTACATAGCCAACTATTCACTTTTTCCTAAAAAGGTACATTTTAATAACAATGCAATTGGTGATTGTAGCTATGGAGGTGTTCCAACTGGCATGAAAGGAGTAGGCATGGAGTAGGTTGCAGGGGACCCCTGAGGTATCACTTTTGGGCCAAAATGTGTGCCCTTGAACATTTAATGCATCCATACCCTTTATTTTCAATTGATGAATTTCCAGCTCAGCCAGAAAGGTCCCCTGTGCCATTTGAACATGTCTCTTGGCTTTGATTTCTAAGCTACAGTGAGTTCACCTTATATACACTAGTGTTGTGCCTTTCCTCACTGTTTGAATCTTGTTCTCCTAACTGCAGCAGGTGATGGAATGATTTCAAATTTTGCATTCCTCAACCTAAAAGTTCACGTTTCAGTTTCAGTTTCCCCTTATACAGATTTAAGATTTTGAACTTCCTTCGTTTTGAAATGATAACAGTGTTTAATTCTGTTTTATAGGGCAACATCACATGTTTGAATATCAAGCAAGTAACTACTTCTCGTGTGATTTGCTTGAAGCTCAATGAGATCTACTCATGTGTAAGTAACATCCAAACGGACAGAATCAGTAACAAGGAACTGACCGTAATGCAAAAGGGTTTAGGGGCAGAGCCTGTTGCTGTAGAGGTCTGTCACAGGTTAAGAAAAGAGTACTTAAATGGTTGTACTTTGTTTTAACTTGCTTCGTAGTAAGAGATGCCTTTTGATGTCTTTGCACACACAAAGTATTTCAGTTTTAACCCGGCCCACCTGAGTTCTTTTCCCGTCACAACTTCCTGAAATTTTACTTACACAGACATACCAGGTTGGAATGCATTGCCTAGGTGCATCTACATATAACAATTAACAATTATATAAGGTTATAATTCTTATTGATTTCATTAGCACTTTTCAGGGTGCTGAGCACTTTACAATTCTCATTTCATATATTGTCATAACCATGCAGGGAAATTGGTTCCTGGGCCTGTCTCATTTCAAACAACATATTCACTTGCAATTCTTTGCAGCAAGATCCTCAGGCAAATTACTTACCTCCCCTCCCTTTCTTGCTCAGATCTCCTGTTGTCCACCGTCCTGAACCTAAAAGACCACTTTATTTAACCAAATCTGTTTTACCCAACACACACAGTGCATGTGTGTGTGTATGTGTGTGTGTGTGTGTGTGTGTAAATGGCACACTTCTTGCTATTGAGACACCCCTCAATCTCTAATCTTTGTTAATTGGGGCTGTTGGTTATGATGGGTTAGTTAGAGAACTGAATTCATTTTACATTGATGATAAATTTAGACTGAGGGGAGACCAATAGTTCCTCAGTTAGATTTGGGTGAAGAAAGCTCAGTCTTCACATCAAGCTAAAGACTTACTGGAGTTACGTGGGGTTCCTTTTAACTAGTGTAAAATTAGTGCTGTATCAATGGTAGAGTGACATTGAGTTTGGATTCATCCTGAGTTCTCGTCTCCCATCCTGTAAACCCTCTGTCAACTAGCATTATAGGAGGCCTGTTTGCATATGCTGGAAACATATCAACAATAATCATGCTGAACAACTCCCTAGGGAGTGTATAGCTGTAACACTAGAGCCACCTAGTGGGAATGTTAGTGGAAAAGCAAACAGTTGGGTAGGTTTAATGCATTTAGTCTCATGATCCTAAAAAGAAACAATTTATCTACTCCTCTCTCTATTTATCTGTTAATTGGTAGAGTCCATTATATCAGTGCTTAGAGATATGAAGCATTTATCAGTTTTGATTACAAAGCTGTATACATAGTTCTGCGCACCCTGCTTCTCCAAGTAGTGAGAATTTACAGGGTCTAGTGCTTACTTGGGCTAATTTCTTTCAGAGGAGAGAGCACTGAAAACCTATGGCATTTTTGTGGCATTTGCCCTGTTTACAAATATACGATCTGAGCACAGATAGAGAAATTGGGTACTCCTAGAGGGCAGCATATCTACTACCCCACATCAGATTCCCATAAACAGAGAATCCTCCAAGGTATTCCAGCCAACCCTCAGCAGTGGCTTTCTGATTCTTTTTCTGTCCCTTCCTGCATCAAAACTACATTTTCTTTTCACACAGCTGCCATCACCACCTTCAGCTAAGAAAGAATTTCATCTCTTCCAAGTTCTAATGGACATGAACAAAACAATTTCCCCACACTAAAGGCCCATTAAAGAAATAACTAAATCATTAAGACACATAGATTAGGATTGCCACCCTTCTTGTGGGGGTGGGGGATAATCTGCTCACAGCTGGCATTTTTTGACATTGCTCTAAAAATGGTTGTCAGCATGATGTCACTTCCAGTGAAACCCGGAAGTGGTGTCACACCTCTCTAGGAATTCACTCTTTGTTCCAAACTTCTGTCCTAATTATCTCTGTCTTGGAAAAGTTTCCCTGCTGTCTGGGAGGGGATCCACCTGGACCCCTCATTGAAAGGGAAAGGCCACTACAGCCCCCATTGCCCAAGTTTCAGACCCAGCTGGAGGCAAATCAGCACCCAGTGCCTACTTACGCAGGCAGGCTCAGGCAATGATGGGGAGAGAAAGGCAGCAAGGGTATCAGTGCCAACCACTTCAGAGCTCCAGGCAGTGGCAGAAACAGTCCTGGCACAAGCCCAGTGAAAATCATTCAACATGGCAGGGCAGGGCCTGGCCTTCATGAGGGCCATGGTCCAGATGGGCATAGCAGTAGGACCCATGGCCCCACAGCAGCAGCTGCACCACAGAGCAGAAATGGCCAGGCAGTGGTAGCCTCCCCAAGCTCATCTGCAGCCCAGATAGCATTGAGATGGGTGCGCCCCATGCTGAGGAGGGACAGGCATGGGGTTGGAGTCCTGTCATTGGCCCAGGAAGATCCTGGCAGGAAGTGGTGGAGTAGCCTTGATGGGCAGGGCTGGTAATCCTGGGGAAGGGAGGGAACCAGGGCTTGGGCACAGGAAAGGGAAGTAAAAGGAGGCACACAGATGGAGGTTGGGGAGGATGACAGTTGGTCACCAGGGCTGTTGCCAATGGTGTTCCAGCTGAGAGGAGGCGAACAAGGGTGAGCCAAACCCCTCCCCTCTCTTTATGAGACCTCCAAGGGTACTCCAGGGGCCAAAGGCACGATGGCTGAAAATGGAGCAATCCATGAGGGGCAGGGGGCATAAAGGCTATGGGCGCAGTGGGCTTTATCTTGGGGCCTTACCTCACAGGAGAGGCGCAAGCAGTCCTCAAGTCATTGGAAAAGGCCGATAGTGCAGATTATACAAAACTGAAGGCAGCCATTCTGGATAGGTATGAAGTAACTCCAGAGATACATCACCAGAATGTCCACAACATGTCACTGCAGTCAATGGGATGTCCCTGGACCTTGATCACCACCCTCAAGGATGCTGCTACCCAGTAGCTACGGCTGAGGATAGATGATGCACGACACATTGTGGAACAAGTAGTGTTAGAACAATTATTGCAGATCTTGCCATCTCAGACCCACAACTGTATTGCCTGTTGGAAATCCCAGGGGCTGAAGGAGGCCATGGAACTGTGGGAAAACTTCTTGGCAGTGGAGGGACAAGACTATCCATGAGAGGGACCTTGGAGCAGGGGCCCAGGTGGAGTCCTTGGGAAGCCCCAGCAGGGATGGCAGACAGGACCTCTGAGAGCTCCAGAGTATGAGGTACCTGGGTTCCTCCACCAGGACCAATCCAGGTCTGTCAACCCCTCATTGAAGGGCCCTCATCCCAGGACAGTATGGCCTAACACCCCTCAACTCCAAGGTATCAGGTATGACAGGCCATCCTAGGGAACAAGGCCTCTGTTCCACTTGCAGCCAGTGGGGTCACTATAAGAAACAATCTCCCTTCATGGAATGTGACACTGGGAGACGGCCATGCAAGCTTTCAGTCATGGATCCTGCCCACCAGCTCTGGTGAAAAGGGTTGAGATGGGAGGACAGTTCTTGGAAGCTCTGATGGACAGTGGGAGTTCTATCTCCATGATCCAGTCACACCTTCTACCAGCTGACCTTCCCATCATTGGGGAGGCTGCCATTGCCTGTTTTCATGGGCACGTAGACCGATGACTGGTGGTAAAGGTCCAGTAAGTCTACTGGGGGAAGACCTGGGAGGAGATCTTGGCATGAGTGAAGAAGCTTCCCTACCCCTTGCTGTTAGGGTGTGATGCCCCCAAGTTCATGATGGCTCTGCATGCCCTGACGGCCATCACAGAAGAAATGGCCACCCAGATGTTTGACTCCATGGACAAGCCAGTGGAGGACAACCCCGGGACACAATGGAGTAGATATGATGGGATGGTGGCAATGGGACTCCCTTTTTGTGGCAGCCCAGGGCAGAAATGACACCCTCAAGGGCCATCAGAGCATTGTGATGGTGAGTGAGGGTACAGTGGTAGACCCTTGGCACATCCAGCACATTCCTTGTGTAGTTCAGGAGTATGGTACAGGTTGGTCCAGGGATAAGTGCGAGTCCAATTCCAACTCCTAGTTCCCATGCAATTCCTGTGGGAGATGCTGACAGCAGCTCATAAGCACCCATAGGTGCTGCACCAAGGATACTCTCCTCCAAGTGCTGTCTTGGTTCTTTTGGCCAATAGTGGCCAAAGAGGTGCAGGACTTCTGTAAGACATGTAAGGTGTGTCAGGTGACATCAAACTGGCCACCCCTGTGAGCCCCTCTCTCCCCTTTGCCGATTGTGCATGCCCCATTTCATCGGATAGCTATGGACTTTGTGGGGCTGTTGCCCTGTACACCCCAAGGCTTGTTCCAGTTTCAGATTATGTCCTTCAGCCTGCATGGAGTGGTGGCTTGGGGTGTGCAAAAAAAAAAAAAAATTGGCCCAATTTGGATTCGGCCGAATCAGGCAGAATCAATTTCGGCCAGCAGAAACACTCTTGCATGTCAATTTCGGCAGTACCAGCCCCTTCCGGAGTCTTTAGGCCAGCCAAATGTCAATTTCAGCCCCATTATATCCTGTGGGCCATTGAAGTCAATTGAAGTGTAAGGCATCACCTTACACTTACCAACACTGAACCTCATTTGCCGTATTGTCACCCACTCATCTAGCTTGTGGGGGTCCTCTTGGAGCTTTTCACAGTCAGCCTTTGTTTCCACCATCCTGAATAATTTGGTGTCATCTGTAAACTTGGCCACTACACTACTCACCTCTAGTTCCAGATTATCGATTAATACCTTTATTTATTTATGTTATCGTATTTTTATTCCACCCTCCCCCGCAAACGGGCTCAGGGCGGGTTACAACAGAATAGTACCAACCCCAATACCGATCCATGTGAGACCCCACTGCTTACTTCTCTCCATTGTGAGAACTATCCATTAATTCCTACTCTTTGCTTCATGTCATTTAACCAGTTTTTGATCCATAAGAGAACCTGCCCTCTTATTCCATGACTGCGAAGTTTACTCAGGAGTCTTTGGTGAGGTACCTCGTCAAAAGCCTTTTGACAGTTCAGGTATATAATGTCTACCAGGTCAGCATTGTCTACATGCTTGTTCACTTTTTCAAAGAACTCCAAACGGTTGGT